TTCTAAGTTGAAAGTCAACAAACAGAAAGGGAGGCAAATGTAAGCTCGCTTGTTGGCATGTGTAAGTGAACTGTTTTGCATGTCATACTCAGTTGCAATGGGACTCTAAAATATGATGAAATCTTTCCATTTCTCTTTACTCTAAATCAAGACAGACTAGTTCCCCTAAGTTGAAATCCTCGAAATAATTTGTAAAAAAGGAATTACTTGCAAATATCATGCTAGTTCGTTATCTGCCCCTTTCTGCCTTAAAATTTGATAAATTTAAAGAGTTGTGTGGTGCTCTAATAATAAATCCCATAAAGGTCACTTGCAAGGGATAAATCCTAGGATGTTGACTCATCTCAAATGAGAATTCAAAGTAGAGTTAGTTGTCCTTTATATAAAATTGTATGCTTTCAGCAATTTTGCGGCTTTCCTCTATGAAATCAAGTCGATCTTTTGGGGAGTTGTCACTTCATCCATGTAGATTGTAGAATGCTTTAACCTTCTTGATGATAGGTGCAACACTGAACACGAAAATTAAAATGGTCAACACAATCATCACCACCTCTGTTATTCCAAGAGATGCTTTATGGTTGTCCTTAATAATAGCGACTTCAACATATGATCACAATCAAAGTGAATCCTAATGAAGAAAATCTGAAGTTCCTTTCTCAGAATTCCCTCCTTTCTGTGGACTCCCACAAATGGAAATATAAAAATTAAGCCAAGATTCAAATGTGGCTTGGAGGCCGCAAATATTGTTTCTTAAATCTAATGGTGGAGCTATCAAAAGCAAATCAAAATTGGAGGGATCTCCAAGAAAATCTTCATCTCTAGCCCTATAAATTAGGTTCCCCCAAATTATTGAAGTATAAAAATACAAATTGCAACCCCACCCCTAAATGGTAATAATAATAGTAATAATAATAATAATGAAAAAAATTACTTCTTTGTGCTTTGTTGTACGATGCAACTCCTCTTCAACCTAATACTTGCCAAGCAAAGTCGAAGCCCATTAAAGCTTATGGAATGATCGTTAGGATTTCACTTGAAATACTTATGCCAATATATATGTAACAAATTCCTCGAGCGAGGCTGACATGCCCAAAACATGGTCTTGAACCATTTATGTTATCTAATGGTTTTGCTTACAAGCTTGTGTGCCGTTTTACACATATTTAGGAAGGAAATTCTCTATCATTGAGTTCTATCTCAAAATTTACCTTCTTGGCAAATTTTTTTTACCTTATGTGTGTAAGATCCCCTTGTTCGAGGTAACAAATGATTGATAGAAATGATCCTCATGTCAAGGCTTGGAAAAATGAATGACCTATGGCTATTCAGAACAAGGTATACCTATAGTCCCGTATGATGGAGCCATGAGATTTTGACGAAGTCTTTGATCATTTCTCTCTATTTCTTAGTATTAGTGATAATTACTTTAAAACATAAGATGCAAATTGAGTAGTGATGGAAACCCATTATAACAGTAGTTTTAATGTAAGACAAAAAAATATTTTTGCTTTACAGTTATCTCTGTGATTAAGAGGTGAAGTTTATCATGGGATATTTTGCCCATAAGAAGCATCAATTCATGATTATGAAGTTCTCGGTGAGAGTAAAATTTCTACTTTTAGTTTTATTCACGACTTAATTTGACTCTTGAAACACTGTCTGTTAGCCTTCAATGAGCGATTGAGGCTAAGAGCTTATAATCTCATGGTACTCATGAGTCCATTTGTTGCTTTAATTGGAGTCCTAGTTCTAAAAGTTATATAATCTTTTATATCACCATTTTTATGGTAGAATCGAAACATTTAAACTTATAGGACCAAATCATCACTTTGTCTTCCAAAAATGCTAATTAATATTTCACTTCCTCGAAAAATACATCTTATGTATTGATACAGGAGAAAAGGGAGTTGGAGAAGATTCAACAAAAAACAATCAAGAAAATAATTTGCGACAAAAAATTAACTAGAACAAAAACGGGATACACTAATCAAATAAATGATACAATATATAAGAGTTTCCTAGTCTCACAACCAATTGAGATGCCTAAATTACCACCCGAAGGATTGATAAAGGAAGGAGACCCAGGATGTCACCATAAACAATAAAGGGATACAATTGCAACCACCAAATGTCATGGATACAGACTTACCCTCATTCGAGAACCACATATGAAGCACATGTCCTCACAAAACTCAAATAAATAAAGACCCTTGATACAATAAACAACTACATATTTATAATCAATAAATGACCTAAACCTAATAAAAGTAGACAAACAAAAATACTCTTGTTGTTAATAGGAGTGAGCGACAACCGATCGATCCTTTCCCACTTGGACTCAATCGACCCCGAGTCCCCTCCCTGCACCGCGTCAATTTATTTTGGTTGGTGCTTCTGACTCCAATTGATACAGTTTCACGTCGACCACATTGAAGGTGGCAGAGCTGATGTAACCTCTAGGGAATGGAGGGTCTTTGATTTTTGACACTTATTTTCGGTGGCATGACTAGGATTTAGGTTTGAGAGGTGAAAGATGGTATTTGAGACTGATTTAGGGTGCCGAAAAAATTATTTAATCAACAAGAGGATTTAGTATTAGGTCAATATTTGATTATGGTTTGGTGGGTTTAGGTTTAGGAGGTGAAAGAGGGTTTATGAGACTGATTTAGGGTGAAAAAAAATTATTTAGGGTTACTAGTTTTGAAAATCAGCAAGGGGAAATAGGGTTATATCAATATTTGGCTATGGTTTGGCGGGTTTAGGTTTTGGAGGATTTTGGTAAAGCTAAGTTGAAACTAGGGTTAGGCTAGCTCTGATACCAAATGATATCAGTGAAGGGGGGTTGGGGAAGATTCAATAAGAATAGTCAAGAAACCAATCCAAGAGGAAAAAAATTAAAACAAAGACGAGATTCACTAATCAAATAAATTATACAATATACAAGAGTTTCCTACTCTCACAACCTATCAGGATACATAAATCATTACATGAAGGATCGACGAAGAAAGGAAAACTAGGATGTCAGCACGAACAACTTAGGGATACAGTTGCCACTCATTTTATCGAGGATGCAAACTTGTCTTTAGTCGGGAACCACAAAGGGAGCAGAAGCTCTCACAAAACTCAAATGAGCAAAGACCCCTAATTCAATAGATGAATACATATTTATAGTCAATAAAAGACCTAAACATAATAAAAACAAGTAAAAAAAAATACCCTTGTTGCTATTAGGAGTGGGTGGGAACCCTAGCTCTATAGAGAGGGCTGACTGACTCTCCTCCACTTGGACCGAGCTGGTTCAAAGTTACCTCCCCGCCTCGCATCAATCTACTGAGTTTGGTGGAGCATCGACCTCATATGTTGAAGCTTCTGACTTCTCATGATATGGCACCAAGTCGGCCATGTTGAAGGTGGCGAAGCTACTATAACCTCCCAGGATTGGAGGGCCTTCGACATTCGCCACTTGTCTCCTCGGTGGCATGACTAAGGTTTAGGTTTGGGAGGTGAAAAAGGGTCTAAGGAGCGGATTTAGGGTGCAAAACAACTATTTAGGGCTGCTGATTTTAAAAATCAGCAATGGAGAATTAGGGTCAGGTCAAAATTTGACTATTATTTTATGAGTATAGATTTGGGAGTTGCAAGAGGTTGTATTGGGCTGATTTATGGTGCAGAAAAATTATTTAGGTTTGCTGATTTTTAATAATCAGCAAGGGGGAATTAGGTTTAGGTCTAAATTTGGCTATGACTTTGGGGTTTTAGGTTTGGGACGATTTTGGTAATCCTGGGATGGAACTAGGGTTATGCTAACCTTGATACCAAAATGATACCAAAGAAGGGAGTTGGAGAAGATTCAACAAGAACAATCAAGAAATCAATCCAAGAATAAAAAATAACTAGAAAAAAGATGGTGTGATAATCAAATAAAGATATAAGAGTTTTTTTACTTTTGCAACTGATTGGGATAGAAAAATTACCCACCCAAATGATTGATGAAGGAAGGAGACTTGAGATATCACCACCAATAATGGAGGGATACAATTGCCACCACCCAACATTGTGGATATTGATTCGTCCCATACGAGACCACAAAGAGCACAAGCTTTCACAAAACTCAAATGAACAAAAAACCCCTAATAAAATAAATGACTACATATTTATAATCAACGAAGAACCTACACATAATAATAATAAAAAAAAACTTAAAGAAAATACCCTTGATGCTATTAGGAATGGGTGTCAACCTTAGCCCTAGAGAGAGGGTTGACTGGCTCTCTCCCACTTGAACCGAACCGGTCCCGTTTTCCCCTTCCAGCCCTACGGCATATACATTATTTTTGTTTAACTAAATATAAGCCTTTTTATTTTCAAATAGTTTCTTACCTTATTTAGAGTCACTTTGATAGAGTTTTAATCAATTAGATTTATTTCATGTACAATGGCATATATCTTGACATCTCATTTTCAATATTCTTTTAAAATATTTGGATTCCAATACAGAATATGAGAACATGATATTGATATTGGATTTAATCATATTATATTGAAAACTTTTTGTCACGCCACAATTTGTTATAATGCTAATCAATAGCCCAACACGATTATCTTTGATAAAATGAATTATTATGCTTACCAACTACACAAAGGCTGTGCTTGTTAAAACCCTTATTAAGAGATCCAATGAGTGTTAATAAAAGTTTTTTTGAATACGATGACAACTTGTGGGTTTACGTTGAAATTTTTATGTGCTTTACATGAACCGTAGGTAAATTTCAGTGTTTGGGATTGTTCATGTAAACAAAATTAAACCGAAGGTTGGAAAAAAAATTGCTGGAGCAATCTTTGCTGCAATCTCATAGATTGGTCTTTAACAATTTGGTTTTTGAGATTGCCATTTCTTATTGTTGATGCAGTCCTAAACTTGATCAAATAAGTATCATTTTATTCTAACTCCCTGCTTTACCTTTAATGCTTTTATCACATAATGAGTTTCTCAATGACAGGTACTCTGTTGACAATATGCCTCTCTATGATTCTACGGATGAGGAGACCGATTCTAACTTTCTCAAGGCCATTGTCCTATCAAATGAGGGAACAACATCTGAAACAGAAACTGGGGAGTTTCTTAGACGTGCCTATGACACTGATTGTATGATGCTTTCTCAGGCCTTGCCAATTAATGTCGAACCTCTGTGCTCTGTACCTATGGAAGTCGATGAGGGAAAGAACGAAGCAAATGAACAGGATAATTTTTATGTGCAACACGCTCTACAGAACCCTGGACAGAAATCTACAGTAGTTTCTCATATAAGAAGCAAAAATGTCTTCCGTAGCTATCAGATACAGTCAGGTCCTTTGTTTAAGAGTTCGCCACATTACTCTAATGGAAAATCAAAAAATTATGTGAGAAGACAGGTGAATGTGAAGTTTGTCTGTGAACGTTTGGCATCAAAGGAAGCATGCGATGAACTTCTGTCTTGTGAGGTATGCTTCATAACATTTTTTATATTTAATGAGTAGTGTCAAACTAGTCCCCTGACTGTTTACATGGGGCTATTTTAGTCTTAGAGTTTATAAAAGTGTCAAGTTAGTCCGAGACTCTTAAATTGGGTCTGAAATAGTCCTCCATGAAGACTATTTTAGCCCATATGAAAAGAGTATGCGGACTAAATTGACACTTTATAGACTCTAGGAATGAAATGGCCCGTTGCAAGGAGTTAGGGGACTATTTGGTACTTTTTTTATTACTGGTTCAAATCAACATTGTAATTTCCTCCAACATGCACTACAAAATTTTCTTCGTAAAGTTCTCTAGCTAGATAATGATAACTCTTTGAAATTTAATTCCTATGATGAGTGATCTGTTTTTAATTTTGTGTTAATAAGCATTATGGTCTTGTCCGACTGAGCAATATGTATCAAGTTGATATTTTCGACACGCTTGAAGTGGTAATTATTTCTCCAGATTGAATTGATGATTCTAATGGGCTTGGGCTGCACAAGTTTTGCCTTCTAGCTTTCATTACTTCTTTGAAACTTTGCCAAATTTTCTTCGCGCTCACCTTTAGTAATAAGTTTTACTCATCAATCTGCTTTTTCTAGTGAAAAGATGGCCACTGTTGTTGCATATCGAGTTATTGCTGTTTCTTTTTCAACTCTCTTTATTCGCATTTGTGGATGTCTAATCTGGTCCCTAGAGTTGAATGTTTTTGGAATTTAACTCATTGCTTATTCTAAAGCTGAGCTGGGTCCTGCATGTTTATCAAGTGCTAGCAATTTTTGTGATGCTAATTGTCAGCTAGGTATCACAGATACTGACAAGACTGCAATTTCGCCCGTAGACGCTTAGTTATTTGATGTTGTAGGTGATTGCTTCCGAAAAGTCAGCTCCTTATTTGTGGGGCCTTCTTGATGTTTATGAGAGAAAACTACCAAGTGTTTTTTTTTTTTTGTGAGGTTGATTAATTTTGCTAGCTAGATTTTTACTGGTGCTAGATTAGGATTTATTTAGTTTTGATGTTGAGATTTTTTACGGGAGCGAGATTCGATGGTTAATCTCTCTTATCGTTCTTGAGAGAACCCTTTTTTAAGTAGTTTTTCTTGGCTCAATTTTAGTTATAGATTTAATGTTTAGGTTGAAATTAAATTAATGAAGGTAAATCCAATCAAGATTTTAGTGTTCTGCCATTCTGGGTGTGTTGATGGATCCAATTTGCCAAAGTTGGCGCTTTGAACCGTAACATCCATGGAGCTTGATTAATAGGGCTGCAAATGCACCAGTATGGTCGACAAGCTTTAGTTCAATTAGAGCTTGTTCATGATGATTCAACTAATAAATAAGAAAAGAATTAGATATTCTTATAAATACAGAATTGATAAATGAACAAATTTGAATAGTTTGGTGTTAGATTCATTAATGATCATTAACTATATCATTAAAAGCTTGTGAACATGCACAGTAGGAAGCTTGATTTAGGCTTGACAATTTGATTTAAAATTCGATTGCAATTTTATTTAATATATTATTATATGTGAGTCTTATTCTCTATTTATTAGATTGCTTTTGTTGATGAATATTATGCTTGTTAGAAAAATTATTTATCTTGTATTCAATTCAATCAAAGTCTTGTTTTTAAGCTAATAAACTGCTCATTAATTGTCTTGATATATCTTCTTTATTTATTTAGGGTCTGTTTGGGGCAGCTGTTGATTATTTATAATCTGCTGATAAGCAGATTATTCTAATAATATGATAATCTGCAGATTATCAGAATTAGTTGGCTTGTTGTTTGAGACAGCTTATTCAGAACAACTTACTGGGAGCTGTTGTTGAATAAATGACCATTTTGCCCCTGTTTGGTTATGCCCCTGTTTGGTTTGCCCCTGTTTGGTTAAGTTGTTGGAACAAAACTGAAATTAGAACAAAAGTATATAATACAGAACCCAGAAATCATCATAAATCAATTCAAAAGATAACATACAGTGGGAAATGTGAGAAAATAAATTAGGATCAGCAACTCTGGAAACTTGAAATAAAGAAATATTCATTGACGGAAAAAGGATGGTGAAGATTGATTTCATTTGGCTCATTTTTTCGCTTGTAGAGAGAACATTAATTTAAAGTTGGTGTTGAAGGCTCTTAGGGGAAACTGAGGGAGCAGAATGTAACTAGAAGAAAAATGAATTTCAAATCAACTGACTTCACCATTTTTCAAATCCAATTACTCCTTGTTGCAAATATACCTGGAATTGAATTCAGCTCAGAACCATTCTCCACCTATCCTATTTATAAGCTATAATGCACGCATAATGCACAAGAAATTTACATTTGTTGCACACAATTCTTATGTATCTAAACTCACACCCACTTTACTTCTACGGCAAGCAGGGGAAACGAATCAGAGAAGAAGAACTTCCAAGGATCGTAGGGGAAATGAATCAGAAAGGAAAATCGAAATGGAAGGAGAGGGATATCGGGTATACCTTTCGTCGATCCTGGAAGGGCAAACTGAGGGAGCAGAGGAGCGGAGGAGATCGATTCTTCTGGAAAGGCGAGCGAGGGAGATCTGCGAGGGGGAGATCCAAGGAGATCTGTGATACTCCTTTCTGCGAGCCAAGCGAGGGATCAGGAGGGCGATTCTCCAAGGAGGGCGAGCGAGAACTGAGGGCAGTGCTGGAATTGTTTCATAATCGCAAAACTGATACGCGGGATGCGAGTAATATCCAGCTTGCGAGGATACGAAGAAAACAACGATAAGATAATGCCGCGGCACTAATAATTTGGGGCCAACGCGATATTCAAACGAAAAGGCGGCGTTTTGAAAACGCCGCCACACCCCTATAAGCTGGCCCAAACGGGCCCTTAACAAGTTGTATGATAATTGGCTTGTTAATTGCTCTTTAATAGGTTTGATAAGGCTCATTTGTCTACCTAACAAGCCTTGCTCAAACCAAGCTCAAATAACTATAATTTTAAACAAGCCTAATAACGTTCGGTAATTTTAAACAAGCCTAATAATTTTAAACAAGTCTTGTTAGTTTTTTTATGCAATCTTCCGGCCATTGTATTTATGAAATGTATGTATTTGAAAAGACATCTGAAGCAAAAAAAAAAAAAAATCATTGCATTTGATTTTAATCCCATAAAAAAACTCATATTTCTTAATTACATGCATTCGAATTAAAAATGCATTTCTAGAATACATGTATTTCAAAGCATCCTCAGGGGCATGAAGTGACCATCAATTATTCATAAGTTTCAGTTTGAGTATTTAGAAGTTGGTTTAAGACATGGTTTGATTTACATCTCACTAGTAAGCCTAATAATGCGACTTTTGATCTTATTTTATAGGCAAGGTAACCCAACTGATGGCCAGGTGTTGACCCTGTTAATTGGGATGATTTAGCCTTGCCATCCATCATACTTTGGATGGAGCTTCAATTTTGTCGACTTTTTGACATGTATTACAAATATTGCCTCGACAGTTGATCTTGTTTAGCAATGGTTTTCGCCTAATTCCCATTATAAAGTAGTCAAGAATTTATGGGAATCGTGAGCGCAAACTATGAAGTATGACCTTTGCCTTTGCTGTATTTTATTATTATTATTTTAGAGGATGGTGAGTGATAAATGTTTAATTTAAATCCGCAATTTTGGGGAAATTTCGCCTCATCGATGGGCCACATATTCTTTCACCAGCAACTTCCTCGGAAGATAGAAGTTGAACTAAAAGCGAAGCTTTCGGTGTGTTTTGTAGTATGTTGCATGAAATAATGTTATTATTTTTCTCACATAGATGTTCGAGTTGCTTTGTAATTTAGTTTTATATAGATGGATGAAGCTAATCTAGGTAGCTTTTCATTGTATACTTTCCACAAATGATATTTACAATATCAAATTTTCTAATGAAATGTAGAAGAAAATGGTCACCGCACAAAGCTTTTATAGCATTTAGTTTGTGAATTTTTCAATGTTTGTTGATCTTTACATTCATAAAGAAGTGTGATATTTAGAGTAAAATATTTAGAGGCTATTTGAGATCATTTTATTTTTTTATGAATTTGATTTGAAATAAAACATATTTCATATGTTGGGACATGTTTAATTATTTTTAAAATATTCTAAATTCTAAAAACATTATTGAGTGTTTTTGAAAAAAGTTGATTTGTTCTTAAGGGCAAACAATAAAAATGGGGCATTCACATACACACAACTTAATTCTTATGAATTTACATATCGAAGACCTAAACTTTAATATTTACATTCATCACATTCAAATTTTTAACATCACATCAAAATTATCATTTTACTAACTTTTTGAAAGTCAAATGCGCTATTTTTTTGCATAGATTTATAGCATCAAGCTGTTATAAATGTAAATATCCAACTCTGGTGTTGGATATGTTAATCCTTAAGCATTATGTGGTACATATGTAAATTCTCCAATAAAAATATGTGAAAATTACATTAAATAAACAAAAAAATCTCAAATAGCACTTCAATTTATTATTTTTATTTTATTTTATTTTATTTAGCATCAGAAATGCTTTATCTCTATATCAGGCCTGCTTCTAAATTCTCTTGTATAATAAAATATCATACAGGAACTGAAAAATCAGGCTACCTCTCAACTGGATCGCGTATATGATGAAATAAGGCCAGCTATTGAAGAGCGTGAGAGGGACAGTCAAGACAGCGTGCCAACCAGCGTCGCAGAGAAGTGGATCGAAGCCAGCTGCAATAAACTAAAAGCTGAGTTCGATCTACATTCCTCTATTATTAAGAGCATCCTCTGCACTCCTCATAGAAGTTGTGCTCAGGCAAACCCCCATGAAGAGTTGGACTTAGAAAATGGCATCAAATTTTTAGAAAATGGCCAGTGAAAATACAGATGCTATCTATCAAAGGGATTAGTGGAGTAGATCCACTATTGATTTACATTATTTGGAGATTTTTATTATCTTTTTTGTGTCTCTCTTTTTGTAGCTCTATTTTTAAGGCAACTTTAGATTTCCCTGCTTCATGTAATTGTTAGCATTCAGAGTAAAATTTGTTCACTTATTTCCATTTGTTTGAGTCAAATTTGAATGTTTTGTGAGATTTAGAAAAACAATTGTTTAGATTCATTATCCATTATGAAGCTTGCGTTACGATTAGATGTTTATTTATCCTAATATGTGCATTTGTATCATGCTTTAAATATGCTTTTATTTAAGCCAAAATATTCTTAGAGATTGATGAAATTTACTTGATTTTTTTTTTTCATCTTAAGGGCTATTTTGGGATTATTTTTGTTTTTATTTTGTATTTAAAATTTTTTATTTATTTTAATATTTTGATTTGAATTAAAACATATTTGTTTATGATAATTGTTTTTAAAAATAGGATAATTTATTTTTTTTTTAAAAAAATTTAAAAAATATACCAATAAAATATAATTTTAAAAATAAAAGTAAAAAAAATAAAAATAAAAAGAAAAAGTGATGACAAACTGGCCATGGATATTGAATAGATTATTTTTTCCATCGAAGAGCAAAAGACTTCTCTCCATATACTGTAATTTTGTCAACACAAAATGCACCAAAGCATCAACAAAGATTGCTTGTATTTACTGAAAGACTGAAAGTATATCTAGTAGAAAGATACACTATACAGAAGCTTCCTATTATGCTGCTGCTCAAATGCGATCACAATGTCATCAATTGAATCTTCCCAGACATCCACAGCTTCCAGCTGCACAACAAAGCAGGAACACAAATTCGTCAATGAACCATGAATTTTTACAATTTGGATAAAAAAATAATTACAGCAACAACAGCAGCAGGGCCACATGATTTTTTTTTTTTTCAATTGTGTTCTATTGAGTGTCAAATTTTCATTCCATTCTAAAAAATTAAGGTAATTTTTTAGGCCTACTTCTACATTTCTTAACCTAAGTCAAATTTAAAACATCTACTCTTCTAATTGGGTCATCAGATGGTTGATGTTTGAGGTACCAAACCATCTAAGGCGAATCTCTCTATCTTGTTTGCCACTGGAGCTACTTCAACCCTTTCACTAATATATTCATTTCGCACTTTATCTCTAAGTGTAAAACCACTCAGCCACCCGAGCATTCTCATCTCAACAAACAATTGAATTTATGCATCTATTTTACATACCAACATTCTGTGCCATAAAACATAGCAGGTCTCAACACCATCTTGTAAAACTTTTGATACTTGCCTATCACACAATAGGCCCCATGCATTCCTCCACTTCAACCATTCAACTTGTATTCTACTAACAACATCTCTATCAATATCACCATCATTTTGAGCAATAGACCCGAGATATCTAAAACAATCACTCATTTTAATGACTGTCACCCATTGTTACAATCCTACCACTAGATCTACTATTACTATAATTACATTCCATATATTCAATTCTAGATCAACCCAAACAAAAATTTTTAGACTCAAAATTCAATTTTTTCTTGAACTCTCTCTATTCTTATCCACAAGAAGGATATCATTAGCGAAAAATATACACCAATGTACATCCTCCTGTAAATGTTCAGTAAGAACATCCATAACTAAAGCAAAAAGATATGGGCTTAAAGCCAATCCCTAATATAATCCAACTGAAATAACAAAATACTTGATCAATCCTCTGCATGTTTTCGAATACAAGTAACAACTCCAATATACATATCATTAATGACTTGAATATAAACAAAATATCAACACCTTTCTTTTCTAGAACTCTACAAAACATTTCTTTTGGAATTTTATCATAAGCTTTTCCTAAATTAACAAAAATCTTATATATAGATCTTCTTTACTCCCTCTATATTTCTCCATCAAACTTCTCAATAAATGTATAGCTTCTATAGTAAACTTTCCCGACATGAACAAATTAATTTGAGGAGAAAATTTTGTATCAAGTCGTAACCTATATTCAAATACTCTCTTCCATAACTTTTATATATGACACATTAACATAATTCATCTATACTTTGGACACTCTTATGCATCCACTTTATTCTTAAAAATAAGAACCAATAGACTTCTTCTCTACTCATCATACATCTTTCTAGTTTTTTTTTTTTTTAATATTAAGAAATTCTAAGAAATACGATACAAAAAATAATTACAAAGAATAATTAGAACTGATAAATTTGTTTTTCTAAAAACTACTGCTCTTGGAATAGCGTATACATATCAAATTTCTAGTGAAAAAGACATCCACATCTCACAATGAACTCCACAAGTCATATTTAAGACAACCACAAAATAAACATTTCCAAATAATTTGATTTCCTAATGTTCGCAATTTAGAAAGAGATTGGCAAAATTGACATCCCTACAAAATAATAGATTGGAGGATTTGCATACATACCACTCAAATCTTATTTATGCATGAAAAGGTGTATTTTTTTTTTAAAAGTTAAAAAGTTGTTATTTTTTCTGTGATATGAAACATTTGAGTGGTATAAGTAAAAAAAAAGCAAAATTTAGGTGTTATACACGTAAACACGTAAGAATTGGGTGGTATTTATGTATACCCTAATGGATTTCTGCGGCACACATGGAACTAGAAGATTAAGCCGTGTTCTCAAATAATAGGCCACCTAGTTTGTTATCTGCGCTTTCTACTTAATAGATGTTAGCATACCTCTTGGCATAAATCAAAAGCAAGCTTGGCGCCAATGGCAGCCTCTTCATGGTTATCTTTGACCTCCAAGTTGATGATGAGTACACTCTTCAATAATGAATGTTTGCGATTATTTAAATCTGCATAAATGAATACAAAGGCCAGAATGATAACATGTTTTTAATTGACAAAAATCATGTCAGAGTTACAAGTAAAGGGAAAACGCAGAGATGGAAAGAAGGGTTCAAATGATGTTTGTTGCCCCAATCAAATAACAGGTAACAAGTTTGATCAAAATAACAATTTGCATGGAAAAATTCAAGGGAAATTTAAACACATACCTCACAATTCCTATGTATTTACATATCAAATAACTATTGTTTGATATTGACATCATTATGCTTTGGAATTGTAAACCTATGCATGATAATGAAAAGATAATAAAAGTTGTATTTTTTAATGTAGTATTAAAGATTTGGGTTTTAATGGAGTAAATATGAAAGTTTAGGTGTCAGATAGTTAAATACATAAGAATCGTGTGATATGTATGTAAATGCCACAAAATTCAAATATTCGTTGACTAATGCATTTTGATTGGTTCAACCTTAAATCGGTCATCTGATTGGTTTGGTCCAAAATTAACTAGCACCAGAGAGTTAATCGGTGAACCAGGTAGCAGCCCGATTCTAATATTGATTAACTTTGGCTTTTTGGTTCTGATTGGATAGCTTAAAAAAAACATTTTAATCTAAAATATAAAAAATAATTAAGATATCAAATGTTGAAAATTAAATTTAGAATCATATTCAAAATATTCAATAATGAATTATCCTAAATTATAATATTATATATTAAATAGATAAACACTTCATTATTATATCATTTAAATCATATTCAATGATTGTAATATTTATTATGTCATCTGGTTCAATTCAAGATTAATCGTTGCATATTAAATCACTCCCTTTGGTTGAAAGTTTTGCTTGAAATGACATCCAGAGCTAGCATAACACAATTTGCAATAACAGAAAATGTTACTCCAGCACACTTTGATGCATTTGAGATACGCAAATCATCACAAGGCAAAGAGCAAAGGTCATGGTTTGCATATCTCAAATGCAGCAGACAAAAAATAGTTGCATCTTTATCTCAATCTATGCAATTCTTTTCGCATTCTATTCGATACCTATGTACAAATATCTCACTTGGCCCACTAAACTAAACAATATAACTCTGAAATTGAATGAGGTTATAAACAGAAATAATGAAAAACCTGAATAAAGCCAATAGACACACACACACACACACACACACACACACACACACACACACACACACACACACACACACACACACACACACACACACACACACACACACACACACACACACACACACACACACACACACACACACACACACACACACACACACACACAAATCTTTCATTTTTGAACCTTCTAATAAAATTCTTGATGTGTTTCACACACACACACACACATACAAAAATCATAAATCATAAATGAGAAAAATACTTTTCCTAGGTAAAGGGAGAGAAGGCAGCACAACAGACCAAGGTGATGCACTTGTGATTCCATTTCTATCATTAACCCATCACATTATTTTCAATTCCAACAACATGATTTTTCCTATTTATAGTGATGAAGAATAAACCTTACTATTTTTTTTTCTTTTCCCACTTGAAAACTTAGGAGAACTACAGCACTTTTGTGTTTCCCTACCACCAAATGGAGCTCTCCAAGCATCTTCTAGGGACAGGGAAGTTTTTTATAAAAAGAGCTGTGGTTATTAACCTTGTAAAACCCCAAAATTACCAACTTCTATGGTTAATGCTAAATAATTTTGAATAAAGTTCTACAATTTACCCGCTATTGCAATCATTTGGCTACCTAAGAAAAAAATAAAAATCCTAAATTTACCATAAAGGCTAAGCATTTATCAAAACCTTTTCCTTTATAACTATATTACTAAAATTGTTGAATCAGCAAGTGTTTTATCTTACATAGAATTCAAAGGTTTCAAATAAACAGAACAAAACATAAAAGTTCAGTACTGAAACTTGAAGATGTCAACAAAGTCCATAGCCACAAATATCAAACACCTACACTACTTGTGGTCTGAAACGTCTTCACCAAGTAGAATAAATGAGATCTCTTCTCCAGACAAATTTTTAACAATGAAAATGATATCTGCATGAAAAGACATGTTAATGATGGCTGATGCAGTTCATTATCATCATATAGTGATAATACCATATCACCTCAAGATGTAAAAGCTAGTAAAAGAATTACATAACACACAAATCTTATGTATTTACATATTTAACATCTAAAACTTCATATAAATATGCATATCACTCAAATTTTTAACATCACATCAAAAATACCACCATCACTACCTTTTAAAAAGTGAAATACACATTTTCATGCCCGGGATTATGACACCAAGATGTTATAAGTGTAAATACCAAACTCTGGATGTTTAGATATGTAAATACAAAAGAATAGTGTTATGATGTATGTAAATTTCCCTGAAAACAATCAGACAACATTCTTACAAATGCTTCCGTTCACATTTCAACATAGAAACACATCAAGAACTTTATTAGAAGGTTCAAAAATGAAAGATTTAGGGAGCCCGTAAGCATGAAAAAAAGGAATCCTCTTATTTGGATGAACGATTCCCCAAATGCAACGGGACTGATTTCCTAATGCTATGAGCGATCGAGAAAATTTTAATAGGTTTATGAATAGCAGGTTATCTCGTGTAATACAATCTGGGGACAAACCTTCAATGACCGTATCAAACACCTTCTCTTCAAATGTGAAGGCGACATCGAAGTAGCCATCCGCAGCGTTGTCCTGCCAGCGCTGAGGCGCAGTCTTGACGCTGTAATTGCGCTTCAACATGGGCAGAATCCCGTTGCGCTTGTACCTAAGCCGTTGGATTCCAGCAGAAGAAATTACATTTAGAAAACAATCGAAGGGGAGGGGAAGTAAGATCAGGATTAGGATTAGGGTTTTGAAGAGGAAAGGAAGGCGTACAGCTCGGCGTCCTGGCGGCGGAGTTCGTCGTGCATTTGCTTATAGGGGGTGCCGAACTCGTAAACGTTGGGTTCGCGGAGAGAGGGGCCGGGAAGCTTGACATGAGCGCCGGTCCCGTAGGAGCAAACGTCGAAGCCCTCGCGCTTGAGTAGGGAGTGAGCTTCCATGCTCCTGTTCTGGTTTGATGAACACACCATGGCGAAACGAAGTTTCATTTTTCCGTCTCTTTTGCTCCACCTTTCCGACGCTCGGCCTCTTCCCGGCCGCCACAAGACCTGATTTTTCGTGCCTGTGGTTCGTGTCATTGCCTGAAATAACTAAAAATTTTTAGGGAAATTGGTTTTTTGGGGCAGTTTGTGCATTTCAGACTTATTCTTTAGGGTTTAGGGTAAACCCTAAACCCTAAACCCTAAACTTATTCTAAAATGTTACCCGCAGGTTGACCGCGGTGGTCGACTCGCAGCCAACGTTTAGTGTAAAAAATCAAAATGCGGCAGACAACATTTTAAAAAATGGGTAAACCAGAAAGTTAGATGGCGTTTTCAAAAACTCCTTTATGCATTTACATTATCAGACCTAACTTTCTCATATTTACATGCATAGCATTAGTGTTTAAAATGTGTGCATGAAAATACGTATTTCACTTTAAAAAAGTGATGATAGTATCATTTTGATGTGATATTAAAGTTTTGAGTGTTATGTGCGTGAGTATGAAAGTTTTTGTCTGAGGTTTGTAAATACATAAGATTGTGTGCCATGTATGTAAATGCCCCTTTTAGGGGAGTTTAGTTGTGTTTTTTTTAAATAATTATCAATCAAATTTATGAAAATATTAACATACTTGAGTTCCACGAATTTATGAATTTTTGGATTTAAGATTCATAATTTAGCCATCGATTCATCTTAAATTCAGATTTATTAAGTCTAATCGATTGGTGGATTTAACTGATTTATAGATTTACAAAAACCTACTAATATTAAATCATACTTGCAGCTAAACACCACCTTAGTAAACTAAAACCTCACATGTTATAAATATTTTGACAACTTTTTTAGTGGGATCGATATGCAAACTAATAATCTGTATATTACTTGACCAACATGTATACATGTGAGAATAATCAATCTGCCTTGCAGAAATTTTGGGCATATAAATATTTTGACAACTTTTTTAGTGGGATCGATATGCAGACTAATAATCTGTATATTACTTGACCAACATGTATACATGTGAGAATAATCAATCTGCCTTGCAGAAATTTTGGGTATCGGTGGCTCAAAACTCATGTAGCTCTCAATTTTGGACTTTGTAGCATGCAAAAGTTATTGTAGCTCATCACTACAGCCTGCTCGATCAATTATAAATTATGTAGTCCACAGCTCATACAACTCCCATCTCCACTCTCGGTTATCACAACTTATTATTATAGCATATGTAACCAACTACGATCTATATGATCCACAACTCATGTAGCTCCTAACTCCAGCATACGTGGCCTATGAACGTTATTTCAGCCCACCACTATGACTTACATGACTCATAACTCCTACAACTTCCTACTATGACCTTTATGACTAATCAACGCTCCTGAAGCAACCATCTATGATCTACTTGGGCAATTATTACCACAAATTTCAACTACGTCCTTTGCGACAACCTAACGTTATAATCACAATCTACAACATTCATGGTGAGGTATTGTCTTCATAACAATGGACTATAGCTTTTGCAACCTATTACAATTATTATTTTTCATTGTCGTTATACATCAAAATTATAGTTGTATCTTGTATAATTAAAGAGAAGAGCGGGTTTATGTACTTATAACTACATAGTGGTTATTTTAACTGGGCTAAGTCCTATACTTTCCCCTTTTTTAGGATTTTCCACATAATAAATTGGTGTGTCTTATTCTGCTTACTTCTTTGTTTATCTATGAATATGTTGGATCTTTGTCTAATACTAAGACGCTAAATAATTACTCTACTGACCAAAATATCAAACCTATTTGGTCAGATCATAAATGTCTCAAAATGCTAGTATGAGAGAAAGATGTATTATTAAATTTAAAAAAAAAAATTACATTAGTATATAATAAATAATAATTCGAATTAATTCTTCATTATAAGTTCAAGGTATTAGACCATAATGCAGGCACACTAAGGCTAGCTAAAGAAGGGGCACAAATGAAAAAGCAAGCCATGCTCATAAAGGTCTATTCCACTATTCTCTCTGTACAAGGAATTGCATCTCGTTTCTTTTATTTTGAATTTCTTAGTAAGGAAATGAAATGAATCATATTAAAATCAATTTTCATTGAGATTTATTGGATTGAGATTGTCTTTATTAATAATTATTTTATCTTTATTGTAAATATACTTTTCTTGATTAAGAATTTTATTTTCGCTTTTCATGCTCTTTAAAATTACTATTTATATATCAATGCATCTATAGATCTATATATCAATTTAATAGTGATAATTTATTCTGCTTATCTCAGCATAGCATCAAAGACCATTTTAGACTCATTGCTTGCTGCCCTAACTCAACCTTGATATGTGTTTGATGTAGTATGTGATGCATCATGTGTGTGCACATTCATCCCCTCACTCTAGTCTACTTACTCTAACATTGCACTCAGCTTTGCACTCTATTGGGCTCGCCATTAGCATTTGTTAAACTTGTGCTTTGCAAAGCATCTCATATCACCACAAATGTTATCAAGATCCTGCCGATTACACTACTTCAATGCAACATCTTTCTTAGCTTCATTCAACATGCTTATAATGTTACCAATGGCGTTATATTGTTCATCTTACGACGTGACACTGAGTATGCTTGCACAATGATCATCCTCTCATACTTAACGAGCATTGTGATTCAAACGATTATCAATTCATAAACATCTCCCTTGTAAAATCAAGTATCCTCATTATGTGCTCTAGCAATTGCTTAATAGTTATTTTATTTCTTTATCCAGTGTTCGTTGATGACTTTTTATATACTTCTTTCTCTAATGAAGCTCTCCATTAATTATGATATTTATTAAATTTTATTGTATTAATTAATTTTTTTGGATTTTCATTTTGTCACTATCTTATGAGAAATTTTTATCATCTGCAATCTCTTATTCCCAAAAAATAAATATAAAAGTGTAATTCTTATAAATGTGATTTTCTCACATGGTTGTTTATAGTCTCAAACTAATGACTTCCTTTATTGTTATGCTTTAAAGGACCACTGAATAAATATGAGATTTATTTCATTCCAAATGCTTTCAAGCTTGTAATATTTTCAAATATACACTCTTTACAACAACGTCAATTTATGTGTGAGTTGACAAATAAGTTGAAGTTTGTTACAATGCTCTAAAAGACATAAGGGATGAAACCTTTTAAAATTGTTCCTTCACCATTAATCTCACTACTTTGCAAAAGTAAAATAAGGTCTTTCTTATTGCTAAACTTATTTCCAATCTGCATCCAGCCTTCCTACCTAATTAAGCTTAGTTACTAAATGATTTTATATCTTCTAATATCCCCATTAGTATCTCTTATGTTCTCTGGACTACTAAACTTACTACTCTATCTTTTTCTAATTATCACATATCTCACTTACTACTAATTATAGAGATACTTTATATGACGTTAATAGGGGTAGATGCAAACATGGTCACAATTCCTTTCCACCATGTCAACATTGTTATAGAAGTGATCAACCATCTTATCATTCTTGAGATAAATTTGGTTATCTGTTAGCTTCCTATCTTTTCATTGCTACTATTTTTTATTATATTAATGCTCATTTTGGCCATATCTCTTATTCTGAAATAATATTATAAATGTTATAATAGTCACATTAAGCTATCATTATCTCTTATGTTGTCTTCTCCTCTGGTATGTTGCAGTTACTTGTTCTAAAACAATTTGCCTTAGACAAAATGCTTCTTCCAGCATGATTAGTAAATTTCAAATATTCACTCACTTTTCATATAAACTCTTCCTCTTGCCATCATTGCATATGTATCCTCCTTTCAAATTCTAGAAAATGATCCATTATTCTCTCCTCCTTAATAACCTAAGATACACTCACACACACCTTAATATTCATTACTTTAATGTAAACTTGTTATCTAAAAACTATCTTATTAAATCTTATAATTGATCAATTGTTTCCCTCTCATTGTCTTTTAATGGAAATCAACATGAAGAAAAATATTGATAATTATATTGACTTTAAAGCTATATACTATCTTTCTACATACACTTTTTTTTTCTCTTAAGATCTCGTCCCTCACCTAAGGCATTATTCTCTCAATCATCCTCTTCCTAAAACTTTGCATGTATTCACTCATCTTTCTTCCAATATCTCTAAATTTGAATGTCAACTTGTGAGTATGATATTTATTATGAAGTTCTTATATTTAGCATCAATATCTCTTTATAATAGTGCTCCTTTTGGAACGACATATTATTTTTTTTCTTTGGTTCAAGTTTATCTTAACTTATCTAGGAGCTTATTATATTTTCTTTTTTATTGATGTAATTAAAGAACATATTAATCCTCTTCTTTCATCAAACCCGAAATTTCCTCAAAATATTCAACTTCCATCTTTTATTTTAGTGCCTACTATAGCTTCACACAAGTCTAGCCCATTGGAATCGATGACTTCCTTATGATGCACCTCATTTCATGCCATATTTTTATAGACAAGCTTTAATCTTATCAAATTTCTCATGTCTTCATCTTTTATTTACTCTCCAAAAATGTATATGCTATTGTACTCACAACCTGATATAGGTTTTTAAATCCTCAAATCATTGTTCTATCTTATTATATTATTTTGATTTATTTCTTTCTTCATCTCTCTGTTATTCTTATTCCCAAGAAGTTCAAGAAGCAATGTTAAATTCGAATAAGAAATATATAAAAAATTTTGAAAGAGTGATTCAACTCTATATGTGACAAAAAATGACTCAACATTGAATGTACTTGAATTATGTTGGGGCTGACAACATTACTCTCCAAAGTCTATTTAAATTTTAAGTTAGCACATTAACATAAAGTGAACTAAAAAATAACTTGTTTGATTTTTAGCTCTAAAAAGAATTCTTTCTCAACCAATCAAAAACTCAACCTTGTTTTCTAAGTCATATTCAGTATATTTGGATCGTATTAACACCAATGATTGCATGAACCAAACAATAAGCAGGCTACATGTGTTATGTTCAAATCAGTCATTTATATTGAGTCCAATTTTGATCAGATATTTCAACTAGTATATTAATGGGTTCTAATTG